TGTGGCCTATCTGGCGCTCCCTGTCGAGAGCATACCTAGCGAGACGTGCTGTTTGGTACGCGGGTTAAGTGTTTGTCGCGCCAGCCGTCTGCGCCCTCCCGCATTTCCGGCCTTCGTGGCTTTCTCTTGACACCAGTTTCCGGTGCGGGGTGGTCAGAGCGTGGGGTAGACGCAGTGATTTGGCCTTCACTATAATCAGCCACAGTCACTGCGTGCTTCAACTCGTTAAACCTCCTAGTGGAAATCATCGAAATCGACGGTCGAACGGTCGTATTGGGACCCACATTTCGCCGCTATTATATTTCTTGGCCCTTATATCGTGTGCCTCGTTAGAGAGGCAAACTCCACACGCATAGGCAGGTCGGTTTCATCGGCTCTTCATTTAGTAAGTTCGCGTGCATTGTGTGGTTGATTGTGGCGTTTTCAGGACGGGTTAGAGTAATTACCCGGTGGCAAGTAGTTTGCCTCCGCTTACAGCCTACGTGTCATGGTCGTCATCAACTGTGGTGCGCTAGGCTGTTGGTCAGTATCGATAGTCTTTTTCCACCGCTTCTAAATGGTCAGTGGCTTTTGCACTTGTCCTGTTTTCCTTGGCTGTCTTCGGACCATTTTAGCATACACTTATGCACTTTATCTTCGTTTGCAGCCGCACTTTTTTTCTCCGTCTATGAGGCTGGAAAGGGCTCTGCGTTACATCTAGGTGCACCAGCATGGTTGTCATCCATGATCGCCGCAAGTCTTGGTGAAATTGTGAGTTTTCTGACAGTACGACTCTCTTGATTTCCTTGTTACCGTGACTTCAATAATCTATACAATGCTTAAGTACCGTTACCTTCCTCACTCCTACAGGCAGCTTGTGTGGTGCGTGTGCCCTGCGAGGTCGTTAAGCAACGAGCTCAACATCGTCCGCACTTGAGCATCTCTTCAATTATCTCGAAAAGCCTGAAGAACGAAGTAAGTCAGCCCCCTCGACGCTGACCTTGCTGCCAATTTTTTTATAAAAACCACCGGAACCAGCGGACTGGTAAATATCATCTGCCCTTGTTTCGAGAACTAAATAACTGGACTGCAAATATAGGGGAATATTAGTGCCAGGCCCTCTTCGTGACTGTTCACCACGTTCGGACCGCCTTTTTGTGACCAGCAACACAATCTACCTAACGTAGATGGCAGTAATACTCTTTGAATTAATTGCTCTTCGTCATACTATCCCTTACGATGGCCTCAACCCAGACCGACAGGGGAAAAACATTATGTCCGCATTCTGTCCAGCACTAAGGCAAGACAGATAAACATATTTACGAGGGGGTTTCCACTGTTTTCTGACTATTATTTGAATTTATATAACTATTAATTAGTGTGATTAATCAGAGAGGCAGAAGACAATGGGGTAGGAGCCAGTGCTGCCGTGGGCTACAGCGGAAAAGACACAACGCACAAGCAACAATATCGTGCGCAATACTTCTTGTCTTAGCTTGAGAACTTTTGGCTCACAGCCTGTTTTACTGATATTTCCACTACCATAGACGACCGGATGAGCTTTTGTCTCAAGTAAAGCGCATGGTGTGGCTTGGGCGTGTGAGATGACTTCCAAGACACCTGCCTCATCCTCTTTTTATTCTCCACGTGTTTTATTTGTAAGACACAAATAAGAAGACTAGAAATGGGTTGCTAACCAGGCCGAAGTTACTTCTACGTCTAATACATGCTTAGTAGTTCCTAACTCCACACAAAGCAGTCTTTGGTGAGATGGTCTTGAATGTCACACAAGTGTTAGTGTTGTGAGGGCCAAAGCGGCCGTCGAACAACTTTTGACGCGTCCTTATATTTTAAAGTGCAGCAGCCTTATCTTAGTTATAAATTCGCTAAATTTTCCTGAATTGAAGTCCCGCATTATCGATCCCATTCCCTCTTCCCTGTGCCATGAACCTATCAGCCAACTGCACGTGGGGAACAGTGCCCAACACGACTTAAAGCGCCGTATAACGTGAGCTTCGTACTTTTGCGGTTGCAGCTGATAACACGAAAATACCGGACGCGACCAGACGAACTGACACCGCTGGCCAGTGTGCTCCGCATTTTGGTCTAATACATTAGCGAGGTAGCCTATTTTGTTTGAGGCGTCTGAAGTAAAAAGTACGTCATCGTTAAGTTTACACACACACATGCACTTATCCTACTGTTCTTTAGTAGTATACGACGGCAGATCAGGTCCCATGAAGGATTAAATTGAAATCACCGGCCTAGGAGTTAAGTGTTTTTATGTCGGAGACTTCTATTTCAGAATATAATTTGGCGAGTGTACACTTTCGATAAATTCTCAGGTCAATATATTTATAGGGGAGGGTTAAACAATCGATCGATAGTTTTCGTAGTTTCTTACAAGCGGGAGCCAACCAGGGCGCGGTTTAGTGCCTGCCGCTAAGTGGCTGCGGGCCACGCCAGATATGGAGTTTGCACGGAGTTCTTTTGTGCACACAAGACCGGTTTCATCAACCTGATAGCGGTCGCTTCTGCTGTTGCTAGCAGGAGAATTTATCGAAAGTGTACACTCGCCAAATACTATTCTGACTTCTAGTTCGTCCGGTTCTACATGAAACTATTTGCAGGTTTCGCCCTCTGTTTATCAAATCAGCGCGATAACTGGTCCCCTTTATTTATTTCGAAGTTCCATTAACGAATTCCTGTGTTATTTCCTATTCATTTTCAGGGTATAGGCGGCCTCTATCGGGGTTATCTGAGCACAATATTCCGTGAACTACCCTTCTCTCTTATTCAGTATCCGGTGTGGGAATTGCTGAAGGTATTGTTGATACACGTTTTTATGAAGGCTACAATCCTTTTTTGCCTAGTTCGTTATTATCAGGTATGCCTAACACTGTACCCCCTCATTTTCTTGTGTATGCGTCTCAGAGCCAACATAAAGTTCGCCCTAGTGCCTCTTTACTGCGCAGACTTGGCGCAAATTGGTATCTTGGAATGCTGGTTGTTCTCGAAGCATGTCCCTTCGGTTCGCCAAGCATCCGCGCAGAATTAGATTAGGAGGTAGTTCTGAAGTAAATGTTGGGTAACCTCCCCGTCGAAGGAAAAAAAACTAATTGGGTATTGTTGTAGAACCAAGCAATTTCTCCGGAGCTTTCTTGAGTCCCTCTTTGGAAGCTTGGGCAGGGCGACGGATGATATAGTTGTGGAATGGGACCGATGATATCTACCTTGAATCATGGCGAATGACCCTGTTGATTTTCATACCATCGTGTGTTGGAGTATGAGCTGTTAAGTAGCAAGGGATAGCAGTTCCCTCAGTTCCACCTTGTTCACTGGTTTTCTCCTAACGCTGTGCTTTGTAGGGGAAAAAAACTCATATCACTTCCCTTTCGAAAAACTTGCATAGGTACAAGTAAAAGTCGCATAAAGTACACGGCTGTTTTCTTATGATTTTCACAAAGTGCGCTTTTTTCGCTAGCCAGTTACCTATATATGCACCTGTGCACTTCAAACCATAAAACCCAATTGTAAGCTGGCTTGCAGGTAGCAGGTTCTTTCTGTTTTAAGGAATACGAAGTGAGACAGGATTGCTCAAGCGCCCCTGTTCCATGCTGTATCTTGTTAGATGGAGTTGGACTTTGTTAGGTTGAGTTCACTAGACATGCTTTTACATTCGGACAGCGAAAGAGGAGTAATCAAAAGACTATCAGCAGTCGGTATGCCTAGAGTACTAATAAAGTTAGAGTGGCTGAGATAGGCTAGATAACAAACCTTTTATTTATCCTTCGACCTATAAGTCAGTCGCACCAATGATAATTTTTTTTCGAACGGTTCGATTCTGGAGACAATTCGTATGTTTCAAGAAAGTTATTCTGTCTTGTGTATTTAGTAAGTAGTCCTTTCAACTGTCTGACCTCTTCCACACCAATATTCAGTAGTATTCCATCCGCGTTTGATGTGCTTATCATTGCTTCTCTATTCGAGTATTCTTTAGCGAGGCCTGGAGAAACACAATCGTCGGCACGGCACTACACCCGACGGCAGACTGACCGCAGGTCAGTTCGCTCTCTGCGGCGCCCTCGCCGGTGCCATAGCGGGCGGCTGTACCACTCCTCTGGATGTTATTAAAACCCGAATAATGTTAGCAGAGGTAAGTTCACGTGCAAGTCTGTGATGCAAAAAAAGTGGTTAACTGCCTGCTGCAGCTTTTTTGCCGGTTATGTTTACGTCTCAGCTGACTTAGCCGCAAAGATTGGTCCTCTGGTGGACTGACCCAATTTTAAAAAGTGGACCTACCCCCTACCCCAAAACCAGATCTAATCAACTTTTATCGGTAGCTTCATTGTCTGACGCGACAAATAGTGCATTTCCTCTAGCTCCGATCCTGGGTTTCGACGGAAATATTGTTGGTCTGTACTCGCTCTTTTTTAGAACCACAGCGTCCTCGCCGATGCGGACTTTGTCCGTCGTGGTAGCCCGTTTTCGACCATGTTGAGTGATGATTTTATTGCTTTTTAAAATAGTGATTCATTTGGCAAAATTTTAAAGTTTTAGTAAATAAAGCTTGCAAGTTTTCTGATGAGTAGTTTAAAGCTCTCGGTGTGTTTGACACCACGCATATCCGGTCTCCTTTGAGTGCTAGCAGTTGGACGCCGAAAGTTCAGAAATTGCGTGTCGTATTTTGAGGTCTTGCCAGGTAAACCGTTTCAAGTGACACTTATAAATATATAGTAATTTCTTTTACTTGCCCCTACTTCTACCAATCATAGCCCTACATCTGTCGTCTTTGCTTAAAACCCTGTCCGCTCATTTTTTATCTTATTATCTTTTAGAAAGACACTGTTCTAGCTTCAGGAAAGGTGTTTACTGCCATGAAGGTAATCTACACGGAGGGCGGCCTTGCCGGGTAAGGGTGATGTTCTTTATTTCCTACCTTAATCATTTTTTCTTCATTAGATGTAGGCAGAAGTATTTTGTAGTCCTGTGCCTTAACTACTGCAGCGGTTATCGAATTTCCTAAGAAGATGACACTATTGTTTAAGGTTGCATTCGAGTGTAACTGGTTCCCCAAGTAAGCCTAACATGCTGATAATAAAGTAGAAAATAATCACAGGTTAACTGATGTACTGCCGAATGGTGAACTTTCACTGAATGTCTTTCACCCGCCTGTATCGACGAAATTCCTGTATAAAACAGCTGATGGATGTAGTATGTAAATGCTGAGACTGCTAATACTAGTAGCCATACCAACTAATAGCAATGAACTATATTGTAATGCAAGTTCAATAGAAACAGTCCAATAATAGGAGCCATGTTACTACTCACCTTTGGGGTGACTTTGTCTGTGCGTGTGTCTATGTGGATATAGTACACAATGGACTTCCTGTGGTAAGAAGTTGGGTGAGTGGAACTTCTAACCTCGGTCTCATTGCTTTTCGCTGACCACTCGCGGACTTCTGTTAACTTTCCCTTATATATATCGGTCCAAGATTTGCAATAGAATCGATCCAATATTAGTTGTCGTGCTACCAAATACTGCCACTACTATTTTTACGATTACTTGATAGTGATCCATCTGAGTGATATTAGTAATATTACTGTCGCTATTTTGAATTCAGAAGTGACGCTGATTAAATTCAACGCTGCAAGTGACAGTAATGCCTTCTACAAGTAAGGAAAGGAACTCCCACTAGCCGTGGTGATAGTAGCAATGTTAATAATTCTAGTAGCACCATAAAGGGTAGTAAGGGATAGTTGCTAATGACTAGTAAATAAAAATGGTAAGACTGGAATACTGCTGGTATAAAATAATATGCCGATACTGATAGTGCTGGTGCTGATAGCTAATCTCGAGTGTTCCGAATCATTTGCCAGTCTATGACGATTTCCTCGCCACCTTCGGTGGGTGTCATCCATCCTTTGGAAGGTTAGCACATTGGCCAGACCAAAGGCAGTTTTCTCACGGTGGGATACTCTGATTTTTACCTGCACTTATCCGGCGGCTACGTGTAGCGTTGAGAAATCCTGGTTACCCGACAGGGCGTCTTAGGTTTCGTCAATCAGGGTAATGGAAGGAATCTGTTTGTGGTCTCTGCGTTTAGCTTGCGATAGTCAGCGTATAGGCGTAGGGTGCCGTCATTCTTCATGATTTGGTCGTCTGACGGAATCTAACCGGCTTGATAACCTTACATTCAAGCGTCTCACCTATCAAACCGTTAGAACACATGTAAACGCCAAGTCGATATCTTAGTTTGTCGAGCCGTGTCCGTATCTATATCATGTTGCGCAATGTTTTTTGGTTAAGAGAAGGGCTATTTCAGTCATTGCAATGGAGATCCTCCAATAATAGGTGCCTTGCTACAAGTACTGCTGCCACTACTACTGCTACTGTTTCTATACTACTTACGAGCGATACATCTAGATGCTATTAGTAATATTACTGTCGCTATTTTTACGTCAGAGATGATGCTGATTAAAAGTTAACGTTGACGGTCATATCCCCTCGATCTCAACAAAGAGTGTGAATCTGGGTTTATGCTATTCCAAGTAAATACATGTTTAAGGCTCGGAGCGCATCAGTGCTTGCCCTGGTTTCCGCACCTTTTCCTCTATTCACCAAAAACCGTGTCAGTTTCTCCTAAGTTTAGACTGCGAGGACTAGGATGCTGCTGCTAGAAGTAATATGCCAATACTGAGAGTGCTAATTCGGGTAATCATACTAACTAAGACCAGTAAATATTATACGATAATACGTGCACTGATGCACTGTCGGATGCTAGCCTTTTAACGTCTTTTCGGCTGCCCGTGTCCATATTCACGACGAAATTGCTGCATAAATAATGTGTCTGCTCTCGATTGATATCCTATTATTCAACCACGCTTCCTAGAATGAGTGTCTAGTACGTCTAAGTTCTTTTGTCAGGCCGTACGTCGTCTTTATATCACGTTTTTAACTGAGGCATGCATTTTTAAGTTTCTGATGTAACTATGGGATAAACCATTTGCACAAACAATCACATTCTTCAAAATGTACATTGCAACCAAAAAATCGTTCTTCCGGAGAAAGCTGTTTAGTGTACTTGGTGCATTACTTTCGGCCAGTCTGCTGTTATTCTTGCACACTTAAACACATAGAAGAGGCTGCGAAGTCGTTGACAGGATTCATTCATTTACTATTCTTAGGAAACAGTCACGAATTTCTCCGCCAGATTAAATACTCCATTAAAACTTCATTCCGGCAGCCTCTAGTTCTCTGACTTTCTCCTGTATTTTATAAACCTTCTAGATTGTTCTCCGGTGTGGTCCAGCGGATACTCCTGCTTTCTGTTGGAGGAGCCATATTCCTCGGTTTCTACGACATTGCGAGTCGCTTCTGGTCTCGAAAGCTGAGATAGCTGCATTTGTTAGCCTGTACTGTAGATATATCCCGTCTGTTGTCTTTGCACATTTTCTGCATAAACTTCCTCAAATGCCTCCCAACTTTTGCTTCTGGGGGAACTTTTATTCTTCGTGTATTGTACAGTCAGTGACCGGTCCTATGCAGTATTAAAGAAAATTTCAAAATGTATTTTGGAGTAAGAATGATTATTTAGGTAAACTTGCAGTATTGCTTATATTTAAACCTAATTCCAAGATATTTTGGGAACATCGGCATTCGGACTTCTACACGAACGTCTTAATTGGTTTCCTGAAAGGAAACTCACTCGAATTAAATGACTACATGAGTACTGGGCATTTTTTTCCTACAGATTTTCAACGTCCTTGCAAATTTACATATATTTTATAGAGAACGTAAGCAAAAATATTCTTTTTTGAGTTCATTTGATAACAGTTCACGTCTTCTTCAAATTTTATGTTCAAAGGAAGGAAGGATATATTTAGGTTTGAAAAGAGTTTCTCATTCTGAAGTAATTTTGAGTTCAGTCTGTCGTTACATTTGCGTTTAAGATTTCCAGTCTACAAGATATGTATGTATTCCGTTGAAGGAATATCATTCATTCCTCTATGGCATGAAGAAGATAGTAAATAGCGCTCGGAAGCTTTTGCGATGGCTGTGGATTGTGCCGTACACTTCGTGAGGGGCTTTACTGAACGACCAGATACGATGCAATTTGAATGCACATTGTACAGTCTTAAACAATTTTGCAAGTAAAAACCTTTTAAAACCAAAAGCCTGTCTTTTTTCGAGTTAAAAAATCGGAACGTGCGTTACTATTAAATAATTGCAAGAAACAATACCTACTTGTGTTTTCCACATAGACATATTTTAATTTGTAACCTCATTAAAAATGTGTATAACAACTGCACGCTACTTAAGCAAACATTTTTTTCGAGGGACGTTTTTCAGGAGGCCGCAAAGAAGCTGCAATACTGATGTGTCTCAGTTATAGTGAGATTATACTCCAATATGCTACTTAATATTACGATTCTGCCTAAGTAATACTTCCCAATTTAAAACGCTTTTTAACATGCTATTTAACATTGCATGAAATCAGTTTTTTCGAGTTTCTTGTCTCCAGTATATCCAGTAGTAACACCACGTACGTCAAACCCCAACGATAATAACAGGCAATGTATTACGGTACTATTCAACAAATAATGAAGGATAAACGAGGTAAAAACCTTAACAATGGACACACGCAGTCAAGAACAAGGGAGTCGACCAGATATCGCCTGACTCTAGACAAAGGGCCGACGTACGTTTAACAACGCCGTAGGGGTGTAGGACGGAACCAGTCTTTGGAGAGTGTGTGTGTGTCAGTGAGAGAGGGCGTGACAGCTGCTTT